GAATGTTACGCGACTGTCTTTAATAATAATAAAAAAAAAAACGTGTTATCAGCTTGTAAGATAAGATTAGATGGTTTTGATATGCTGTATGAAATTATTCTGTTACATTACTTACTAAAAAGGTAAATAGTACGATGTGTAATAATGCAACTTTTCATACTAAAATGCGAGCAAACAACCAATTAATTAATAATGGTGAAAATGCTTTGTTATTTGGTGGCGTAAATAAAATGAATCAGCCTGCAAATTCAAACTCTGATGTTTTTGATAAGATTAGATCTTTTCACTCAATGAAGGATTTGTAATTATTGCTATTGAAAATGGTTGTATGACAAATTGGTATTCTGAATTCCGGATAAAATGGTTGTATAATATTTTGTTCATCGTTATTGTGTTAATAATTACCATTCAAGCAATTCACGTTAAAGGTTTATATGCAATCCTATTTTTTGCTTTTGTCGATCTATTTCCCATAAAAATTGTTCTCTCACATATGATGATCATTTGATTCCTTCTACCTGAAAACACAAACCTTTAATGCAATCTTTGTAAGATATTCACCTGAAAATATTATAAACTGAAATTATTAAACTGAAATGATTTATTTGATTATATTTAATTTAATACTTTAACTGGAATGATTAACCCGAAATTTGTCTATGTATATTCTTAAGTCTCTCTTTCGTCCTCTTACAAGAGATGTTCTCGGTTTCATTGTTGAACTAATAATTCCTTTAATTATTATCTTTAATTATTATCTTTATTATCTTTAATTATTATCTTTAATTATTATCTTTAATTCTTGTTGGATTTATGAATCATATGATTAAATTGCCAAGAATTAATCCATGGTTTTATCCTTGAATACTTAAATCGCCTGTTGTGAATGGGAAGAGTAACACATTCGGTAACTATATGTTTAAGGAGACAGTTATTTTTTCTTCATGTCATGTGCGGCAACGTTAATAATAGATGCAGTAAACATTTTTAGACGCGTTTTATTCCTAGACTGATTTTATTGACGCCCAAGTAGTTTTCTCTTCTATACATGGTATTGAACTCTCAGCCTGAAAAAAAAATTATTTTTACCCACCCCCAAGAGTGGGGCATTCCTAATTGAGATTAGTGCAGAATTTTCCAGTTGACACAATTATCGTGCAATAATATAAGTGCATATGATATATACATATATATATATATATATATATATATATATATATCAACTAAATATAGTTATTTTTCTGAATAATCCGAACTCTGTCAAACGGATCTTATAAATTTTAGTTTACACTTTTTTAATCTATGTCTAATGAGATGCGTCAAAGTGGGAACATGAAGACGCGTTATCAATATAGTATAGTGATTCAATGATTTAACTTTGGTTTATTAATATGTAATTTGGTAACTAAAATTTAAATTTTGGGCCTGGTGTCCGAATTTTAACGATAATGTTATATTACTTGTTACAGCATATCGTCAGTGCAATGCATTGCCACCCTATTAAAGTTAAAGAACAACCGGGTTAAGGTTAGAGTAAGGGTCGTTTAAATCCTGGCACCTTACGAAATTACCCGATATGTGTCGCGGGTTATTCCGAACAAAACAACCAAAGGAAATATAAAAAATGGCTGTCTTGATGCAATTTTTACTATATATATCTATTAACTTCCTAGCCTATGTCTAATCATAACCCTAGTATTAATAATTAAAAATCGAAAAACCGGAAGGTGCCAGGCTTTAAACGTCCCCTAGAGTAAGATGGTGATCCAAAGACCTTCTAATCCAACATTTCTCGAAACTTTTATTTTGTTAGATTCTGCTTCAATTTTCACGTTACACCTGATTCTGCACCTTAATTCTCGTAGCACAACCTCCAAATTTGAGCTATAAAATTATATAAAATTATGAGATTGGTGGGTCCAGTTTTTTCGCGCACCTGCACGGCAGTGCATCCTCTAATTAGCCAATTAAAATGCAAAATTGTCGTATTACGTTACACTAAATTAAAAAAAAAGGTAGGCTAGTGGTGGCAGAAAAATTTCACTATCACGTGACCGAAGATCACTTCCGACCTGGCACGAAGAGATCGTCGGACCTGTAAAATTAAAGATTTTTAAAAATTTAAGCGATGATATCTCTGCACCCACTAGACCAAATTTGATAATTTTTTCTTATTTGAATTCTATGGATCTATAGAATTCAAATAAAAAAAGATTCATCGAATTTGGTCTGGTGGTTGTAGAGATACCATCGTTCAAAGTTTTAAAAAAATTGGGCGCAACTTATATTTTTGATAGGCGTTTTTGGGTTTCTTAAACTTTGAGCGAAGGTATCCCGACAACCATCAGACCAAATTCAATGATACTACTTTTATTTGAATTCTATGGGTCT